TGTGCGTGTTCGCCGGCGGGCGGCGTCCGGCGTCCGGCGTCCGGCAATATATGCAGGGGTGCGACGCGTCGGTGCTGATCCGGAGCGCGAGCAACGACGCCGAGGTGGACAACGCCAAGAACCAGGGCCTGCGCGGACAGGACGTGGTGGACGCCGCCAAGGCGCAGCTCGAGGACCAGTGCCCCGGCGTCGTCTCCTGCGCCGACATCATCGCGCTCGCCGCGCGCGACGCCGTCGCCATGGTAACATCCAACCGGATATTATACTACCTAGGTAGATGATGGGAGAGTACCTGACGCGCTGGAAATTGGAATGCATCCCATGCCAACCAGACGGGCGGGCCGTCGTTCGACGTGCCCACGGGGCGGCGCGACGGGCTGACCTCCAACCTCCGCGACGCCGACGTGCTGCCGGACGCCGCCGACTCCATCAGCGTGCTCCGCTCACGGTTCGCCGCCAGCGGCCTCGACGACCGCGACCTCGTCCTCCTCACAGGTAGGTACCTTCAGTCCTTCACCTTAACGTGCATGGACATGGACGCCGCCAGCCGCCTATCACTGACACTTCACTGGTGCAAACGTACGAGACCGGCCGCAGCGGCGCACACGGTGGGCACGACGGCGTGCTTCTTCGTGAAGGACCGGCTGTACAGCTACCCGCTGCCGGGCGGCGGGCGGGGCGCGGACCCGTCGATCCCGGCGCCGTTCCTGGCGGAGCTCAAGGCCCGGTGCCCGCCGGGCGACTTCAACACGCGCCTGCCGCTGGACCGCGGCAGCGGGACCGACTTCGACGACTCCATCCTCCGGAACATCCGCTCCGGCTTCGCCGTCATCGCCTCCGACGCCGCGCTCGCCAACAGCAACGCCACCCGCGCGCTCGTCGACGCGTACCTGGGCCCCTCGGCGCGCAGCTTCGAGCGGGACTTCGCCGCCGCCATGGTCAAGATGGGCAGCATCGGCGCCATCACCGGCGACGACGCCGGCGAGGTCAGAGACGTCTGCTCCGCGTTCAACACCAATTGATCTGTCGTACTCGTACGTCGTCGGTGCGCGGCGTGACATAGAAAGAGAAAGAGAGATGATTTCTGTGTAAATTGAATTTGGTTTCTTGAGTGGATTAATTAGATTTCAAATTAAAATTTTAACCGGAAATTAATTAAATATGGATTGATCAAAGAAGAGGGCGCATGGAGGAATTGTGCGGTGGAATTGATTGACAACTTTTTGATGCAGCGATGCAATGCAAGTACTGCGCGCATGCATATGCATGTGACGATTTATTGCCACGGTTGTCCTAAATAAAAAAGATGATAAGTTCATCAATTCGTCCAGCACCAACTAAACCGCGTCTAGTCGGTAGATTCTGCTCGAGATTAAATACTGGCGGCTGTTTTGTTAGCGATTTTTTTTCCTAACAATTCGGAAGAGCACTGCCATACATTATAATATACTAGCCATTGCTGCCCGCGCTTCGCTGCGGGTGATGTGCTTGGTATATAAATTTTAAGAAATATAGCTTATATGTCTAATATGTTTTGTCATCGTGTTGGTACGGAAGGTTGGTCTCAATATTGTAAACGAACATAGAGGTTGGTTGTCACTACATGGTGCCTATTCTAGGCCAGCAAATAAATGACATGTTAGTGGAAAGAAGTATTTGATGGAGTTGGACTCAAGCAACTAACACACTTAGATTTAAAGTACAACATTGGATAGGATTACATTATAGGTGAAAATAGGGAAAACTACAACACAGTGAATTAGGATCCACTCCCCTTAGGCGAAACTACAACACGCATCCAATAACTACGGATGACAATAACGACAAGAGTACAATACAAGAGGACAGCGACGAAAAACACCACTACTACGGGTACGCATTCCAAGGCAACTAATCTACCTTGGAACCACGCATCTTTATGCCTTTGCTCGGCGGATTCTTCTACCGCCCTGGCTATGGATCTGCGTCTTCTCGTGCCAATGGCTGAGTGAGAGGAACCAAGGGTTCTGCTTCTAACACTTCCGAAGGTGGAGGTGCTGGCGGTTCTACATCACCAGATTCTCATTCTTTCAGCGGTGGATAGGGACCCCTCCAAGATCGGGGCATCCTGCTTTTCATCAACCAAATGGTCCCTCCGCTTGGCCTAGTGAATGATAGGCCTCACCCAAATGATGAACATGCCGATCTTCGGCCTCCTTCAGAGCTTCTGACATGACAGTCTCTCGGCTCTCAGCAACTGCAGCACTGGCATGTGCTTCGGCGAGCTGCACCTGGAGCATCCGAATGAAGATCTCGGCTTCTTCTAGCGGAGCCGGAGGCACGCCCTCGGCTCAAGGCTTGCCGGTCATCTTCGCTCATCCGAGCAAGCAGTGCGTGGGTCAAGTGCACCATGGTAGGACTATCTTCTTGCACATCCCGCCTTACAAAAGCCTCCATGCGAGCCATCCATGGCCGCCGATTCCTATCCAAGGGTGGAAAGAACTTCATGGGGGTACGGGCAATCGGCTCTTCATAGAGCTGGCAAAGGTACCGCAAGGCTTTGCGGGCCACAACCTGGTAGGTGTCGCGAAGGTAAACCCGTTTGCGGTCACACTCCAAGCTTCGGTGATGTCGGGGAACTCTTTACTCTTCCCAATGTAGATGGTAACCTCACACCGATCGGTGCCATACTTTTGATACTCACGGCCCTCATACTCAGGACGATCTTTGACTCCGAGCTTTTGTAGGGTGGCATGCAGGATTCTAGGAAAACCCTCAACGTTCAGGCAGTAAGTGCTAACCCAGGCTCCTGTCATTTCTGGTGGTGGCTACAAAGAAGGCCTAAGCACAAAGCTTGCTCAAAGGGAAAACCTATGCGCGAGGTAAAGTGCGACGAGTGGTGGTACCAATGGCTAAGCGAGCTCGCTTATAAAGGCGGAGCGGTCTGTGGTCCTGGCGCGGTTCACTAGGGTTCTCGCGCGGGCTCACTACGAACGAATCGACCAAATTCCGCGCATTCGAGGCGAGTGACGTGCGGTGCCATTACTGAGTAGTACGACTACAGGGCAAGGGTCCGACAAGAGCGCGAGAAAAAGGGATACGAGGAGACGTGGGTCAATATTGACGTGACTCATGGGAGAACGGGAGCACAAAGCCATAGTGCGAGACTCTAACTCGTAACAAGCACGAGTAGGCCATGCACATCGCTGCGACACGCGTGACACCTATGAATGGCGTGTCTCGCCAAAGAATACGCCCAATAATGCACAAACAGGCTATGCATGAATGCACGTCCCTATGCGTTCGAGGTGAGCAATGTCTCGAGGCCATTAATGACTAATACGGCTGCAAGCCAAGGTTGCGACAAGAGCCCAAAAAAGAGTGCCAATGGCTAAGGCAGGCTCTGCTTATAAAGGCGGAGCGGTCTGTGGTCCTGGCGCGGTTCATCAGGGTTCTTGCGTGGGATCACTACGAACTAATCGACCAAATTCCGCGCATTCGAGGCGCGAGTGACGTGCGGTGCCATTATTGAGTAGTATGACTGCAAGGCAAGGGTCCGACAAGAGCGAAGAAAAGTGCGAGGAGACGTGGGTCACTATCGGAAGTGACTCACGAGCGAACACGGAGAACAAAGCCACAAGTCGCACTCTAACGTAACAAGCACGAGTAGGCCATGCACACTACGACACAGCGTGACACCTATGGATGTTGTATCTACCAACAATACGGCACAATAATGCACAAACAAAGGCTATGCATTAATGCACGTCCCTATGCGTTCGAGGTGAGCGATGTCCGAGACCATTAAGACTAATATGGTCAGTAAGCCAAGGTTCCGGCAAGAGCCCAAAAAAGAGTGCGGGGAGACTTGGGTCATGATAGGCGTAACCGCAGGCGATGCAAAGCACAAAGCCACAAGGAACGAGAGCCTCTGTAAGTATGGATGTAGATGCAATTATGATAGCTGTAGTAATGGCGACCAACCCCAACCACCGACCATCTCGGGAGCAACGTGCACATGCATGGATGCATGTGTAAGTACAAATGGTCCTGCATGGTCGATGAATCATTTTTATCTGATGGTAAGGAGGAGAGGCACTAAATGTGTCCACCAACCCCAACCACTGCTGCCCGCGCTTCGCTGCGGGTGATGTGCTTGTTGTAGGAGATTTGAAGTGTTTCAAGTAGAGAGAGAGTACAACCAAGTGGCAAATGCCTTAACCTCTTCAGCGAGACGCTGTAAAAAGTGGAAAGGAGAAGCGCCTGCGTGTGCTCTGTCCTTCCATGCATGCCATTTGTAATTTGCGATGGCCACTGTTAAGGAGAAGGCCAGACGATTTCCACCACTAAAAATCATAAAGAAACTGCGTAAACAGCCAAGACTCGACAAAAATTGCTGGAATGGTCGGGTGGTAGAACCAAAGGGTTCCTGGTTACGTTAGCAGTCTATCACGGAACAGACTCTAAGCCCAACTAAAAAATGGTTACGTTAGCAGTCTATCACTGCAACAGCGTCATGAGCGACTTGCTCTACCGCAGGGGCTTCGCGTCCCCAGCGCAGGTAGAATTCCCGTGAAAATCGAGATTCAGCTTACATGGGTGTTCCCATTTCAACAGTATGTCCAAACAGACTTCGTGGTTACGCAAAAGTCAAACACTGAACACGGTAGTAACAATGTAGTAACAATAGTAAAACAATTAATCAATAGTATAAAGAAAAGGTTCCATACAAAAAGGTTATCACATCGACGTTGTTCATATACAGCCTCCAGGGAAATTTTCTGTTACAAGTAGCGTATCCGCAAAATCCCTATTGAATTATATGCCTACCAAAATGTATGCTGCTCTGTCACTCCCACGGCCACTATGGCCGGCCACCGGCCTCATCCCAAAAATGAAAGGAAAAAATGGAGAACATGTTGGTACTTCTTTCTTTCTTTTGGCTTTACGGTGTACAATAGTTTATTCAACTCACAATGCTACATGAAATCTACTGCTCACACGGCAAAAAAGCTGTCTTCCTATCCTACCTGCAGAACAGAAAGAACCGGTGTTCATTTGCTTGTGAGAGAGAGAAATATTCCAGGAAACTTGTCTCGCTTAGTACATTGCTCATAGAAATATAGAACGCATGTGGAAATCAAAATCTTATATTTTAGCCCACAGCTGCCAACCTATGTCGAGCTAATAGGTACAGCTAACCAGATTATTTTCATCTTCAAGCATATATCCAAAACAATGTGAGCCTATGGATCAGCATTTGGGGCCTCTACCATCAATTTGCAACAATCTGTTTTCTTAAAGTGGTATAGAAAATGAACTGTCACAGTCAAATATCCACCAAAAAATCACGATTTAGCTTGTGTAAAATATCTATAATCATACACCTTACTGAATTGGCAAACTACGTGCATATAGCTATTTACCATGTCAAACTGTTAACTGGGCAACACAATAGAAATATGGCTACAAGAATCTATGTATACCTCAAGAAACTAGTTCATGTAGGCAAGAGCGTTTTCCTCTCATCAGTTCCAATCCGATGGCTCGCCTGAAATGAAAGCTAAAGTAGATGTAGCCTCTAAAATGACACATCTATTCTAAAATGGAAACTGAGATACTCACATCATCAGCGGCACCAGCGGTCATATTTACAAAAGAAGATTCAGATGACCTGTGGAAAATATGCACCACATGAGGCCACATGTCAAAAGAAACTTAATAAACAGCTTGCTATTTCTACAACAACATTAACAGGCATCCCAAATCACATGCCAAAGCTATAAAAGTCTAGACGGAGATCATGGACACAGTGCAAAACAGCACTTCTTCAAAGGGCAATGCCAAGTGAAACCTAAATCAAGTATTGGAGTAATTTGTTAATACCATTTGAAGCGAGATAAAAACTTACCGGTGAATTTGGGTATCTTCCAACTCTATTAAGTCAGCTGGTTTGTCATCTTTGACTTTAGCAAGTGGAGAAAAGAACTAAGGAGAAATGACAGAAAGATACATGAAATACAACAATGGTTGTTCAACAAAAAAAAGTAATAAAAAAGGCCAGTTTACCTGGTGCATTGAAATAAACACCACTGATATGCCCAGGAGAAAATTAATGGTCAAGGTATGCCCCAAGAATGCAGCAGAAGCTAGGACAGTAAATATTGTGGCAACAGTTGATGAATACTTCTTTAAAATTGTGGCTGCAGTGTATTTCAATTAGACAATAGATGTGATAACTGCAATAATAATAAAGAGCAAATGTCAAAAACCATTACCTGCATACTTAAGGAATAACGAAGATAGAATGGCTTGTGCAGCATTGTTACATATGAGAAACATTGTGGCCCTTGAATGTCCTCGAAGAATATTAAAACTTTCTGGCCCTGCAAAAAGACAGGACAATGTAATCATCATAAACATAAGGCAGACAACATACCTATCGTGTTTGCCTCAGGAAAAGGGACATTCACATCCCACCCCGGCCCCCCTACTAAGCATTAGTAAATACTTTAAATTCTAATAATGTTCTACACAAAATCAGTAAGCTTTTATGAGCTATGCAGTTCGTTATGCATATCCTTTTTGTTGGTACAACTTGTTAACACCACCATACAAAATTATTTTTCTCATTGCCATCCAGAATGTGGTGGACAGATAAATACAGCTAGTGGCCTAGTGCACTAGAAATGCAGCTGCCATCATCTATCAAGCCCTGGCAGTTGATGTAGGCCGACCCTTGACAAATACCAGTTCAGTGACTGCCTCACTATCAAGCCCTAGCAACTAAACGCAAGATTTTGGATGTATGATTTTTGGTTCCAGCTCAGTTGAATTATTAACGGCCAAATGAACACGATAAGAAATCTGTCATTTGGTGTTGCTACTTACCACATCCAAGATTGTATCTGCTTCACCTTTCACCCCACCAAAGGTGAATATTGAGCCACCGAGCACAGCTGAAGAATGATATCCTCTGGTGTAGTTCATGGGTTCAACCATCATCCATGACGGCATCCTTGGCTCGCACACCTCAACAGTAGCCACCATTGCTTTAGGCCAGTGTCGTATCCACCAATCGAGAATCTGGAAGAAAATACAAAGGCAAATTACGTCAACAAAGGATAGTATACACCCTGATGCCCCCCCCCTCATTTGCTGGGCACGCGTTATATATATAGCATTTTTTTCAGAAGGCACATCCTACATATCTTCAGTTCATTGTTTCAACATAAAAAGAAAGAGTTACATGACTTACATCTTCTCATCAAGCATTGTAAGTGTATGACAGCCCCTTCCTGCACTCATCCTTGGTAGCATTTTCCAGTTAGGCTCCCGAGGATCAAGTCTTTCAGTAGTGCTGCCAATACACATCGCAAAGTTAGCAGAATAGTTTTCTTGTTGCTCCTCTCACTTCAAATACCACTGCCATTATAGCAACAGAGAATATGCTAATGAACATTTACGAAATAATTCAGTTTATTTAGATTTGCACTAAACCATAGGCCAGCGCATGAGGTTTAACTAACTGTTTTGAGATGTCTGGAGGTTTTATGAGCTGTTGTATTGCCACCAGATCAAAACCAAACCAATCAAGTACTAAGTACAGGCAGGAAAGCACATCACCTCAGATATTCAACACCATTGAAGCCACCAACAGCATAAATCACACCATTTAGTGCCACACCAGCTAGAGTTAAGCGCTGAAGAACAGTGTGACAAAGACAGTCAAGCTAGAGAGTTTATCATATTATGTGGAGATTTGTATCAGAAGCAAATATTTTCCCAAAAAGGCCGGTACATCAAATTAAAATGGAACCAGGAACTATTTTTCTTCACTGTAGAATTACACAGTTTTCATGAGTAAATGGTTATTATTTCCCAAGCTATTTGTGTCTTAGGCAGATTTATGCATGTTCCACCAAGTGTAAGGGCTTTAGTAATGTATGAGAAAAAAAGTTTTCACATTCTAGAACAAATGAACGGTAGAAACTGATACCTTTTCCAGCATAGGCTGATTTTTTATCCACTTACCATGAGTAGGATCAAACATCTCAACATCAGAGAAACACTCAGTTCCATCTCCACCACCAAATGCATAGATTCTCCCATTGACACTAACCCCAGCAAGGCTCCACCTGTCACGAGTCAACGATGGGCATGTGGACCAATCACCACGGCTTCGGTCATAACAGTAAACTTCATCCAAAAGATAAATGCAGAATCAGGACAGAGATTGAAATACAAGAGCTCAAGAGGGAACTAAACTTAGAAGCCAAGTAGCAACCTGTATCAAACCAGCAAACACCATCACCACCACCGAGAACAAATATCTTGCCCTCTAGTGCAACAGTTGAGGTATATGACTTGCCAACAGCCATTGGTTTGAGGGGTGTTACTACGTCCAATGAAGGGGAAAAAGAGTCTAGTGATGGCACAAATGAGAAGCCATCAAAACCACCAACTAGATAAATGACATCTTCTGAACCCAAGCATTGTTCTACAAACTGGTTAAGCGAATCGTCTAGGGTCAAAGGATCTATTTTAGAATTCAATGTTTTAACTGTTCCCTTTAGTACAACAATTCTTTTCAGTAATCTCTCATTCACCCCTTGTAAATGTTTGACTTCTTTGTTGGACCAAGCCTGCATTTTGAACATAAATTAGGTTTAACCACCAAAACTTTTTGCCAACAAATGAGACGTTTTTCCATACTTTGGGCTTGCATCCTTTTTCTCTACTTCCATATTGAAAGAGTGAGGTTGAACAATCGATCATAGAGGATCATAGCTGAAAGCTTGATTAGAAACTAAGCAGATGCGAGACTGATTTAGAAGCATAATGGAAAAATCTTTTCATTTCATCCTGCCTTGCTTCTTCCATGTCTTTAGGTAGCCATGAACCAAAGACACTACAAGCTTCTTATGGATTCTCCCTGTTAGTGCCGCATAACAAATTTAGCCACTCTAGAGTGCAAAATTTAGCTATTCCAATCCTACACGCATGCAGTCTACTATTATCAGTATAATAATATAATAATATACAAAAAATTACTCAACATAATGTCACCTGCTTTATTATCCTGGTTCCTACATTGCCATGCTAAGTTATCAACACATCTATTCAAAGTGCAATTTCTGGTTTAATTTTTTGCATATAACATTCCCACAAATTTAAGATTGCATGGTTCGGTATAACAGATGCAAGGCTTCTCATGAGGTTATAGCATAAAGAAGAGACCTGCTTCTTCTCCATCACCTCTATTCGTCTAGATAACTACAGCAATCATCTGCAACTAGAATTAGTGTGAGAAACAACGAGGACACGAATTGACCAACAGAGGAAAAAAAACACAAAACAAGGCTCATAGATCCGCTGCCACAAACAGAAGGTCCATCGACGCACACACAGCCAGCATCGAGGATACAGAGGACCCCAAATCAGATGGAAAAACAAATCAATACTCCACCTGATCTAGAACCAAGAGGAGAGAAAAAGAACATTCCCGTCAGGAGAGGAGAAAAGTGAAAGGGTCCAGACCTTCTTGGAGCTTGCGACTCCTCAGCACTGACCCTTGGATCCAGCCCACTCTGCCTTGCCCTGGTAGGAGGCAAGGCTGTGCGAGGCGGCGCCACAACAGTGGAGGATGGCGTCGAGTAGGTGCGGGCAGCCGACGCGGATAGCACGGTGGCAAGCCTCGGCAGGTCGGAGCGGACGAGAGCTGTAGCTGCGGCGACGCAACGCAATGCTGCGCCGGGCACTGGTGCTGCTGCTAGTGGTGGTGGAACGCCTCCCCCTACAGCGCACAGACACCTGGGGGCGTGGTCTGGCTCTCCACGCCATGCTCGACCTCCATGGATGTGCCGGCGCCGTAATGATTAATAGGGTAGCAAGGAATCAAACAATTAAAAAAATTTCCCCACCTTCTAGAACAGATCCTCCACCTCCCTCTCCCGGATGTCGCCGGGGAGGTTGCCGACGTAGATCGTGCGGCTCCAGTGCCTGCTCATCCTTCACCGTTGACCTACCAACAAAGCAAGAAGGGAAGAATTAATCAGCAAATCAGCCCCCGACGCGTCCGCGTCCGCATCCGCATCTACGCAACACGACACGACCCCCCACAAGAAAACAAATCTAGAAGGCAGCGGGGCACGAACCACCCGAGGAACGATGAGGAAAGGAGATTCGTACCTGAACAGCTGTGGCCAGAGGGAGATAGAGGTCGAGGCTAGGGTTCCGCTGTTGCGACTCTCGGCCCTTCCACTGCAGAACGCGAGGCCGTCGCTGCCAGCCAGCCTGCCGCAGTCACATCAAAGAAAATCAAATCACTGAAGCACAGGTATTGTGAAGATGCAGAGAAGAACAACGAGGACGGTGGTGTGATACCTGACCTGGGCGAGTTCAAACCTAGCTGCCAGCGATGACCTCACCGGCACCGGCACCGGATCTGGTGGGTAGATCAACGGATACGGGCACGGAGTCACCGGAGCAGCGCCGGGGGAGAGCAGGGGCTCGGACGCCGCCACGGCCACCGGCGTTGGACGGCGCACCATGGCGCCGTGCCGGGGGGACGCCGCTGCGCCGCACACAGGGTGCGGGGAGCCTCGGCGGTCGCGACGAGGAGCGAGGGAGAGGCGGAGCAAGCGCTGGAGAGGGCGCACCGCCGGTGCAGGCGATGGGGAGGGGCGGCGCTGTGAGAGGCGGAGCAGCGGCGTAGGGGAAGGAAGAGGGCAGGGCGACAGCCACGGAGGAGACGACGGGACGCCGATTGGAGGGGACGAGATTTTTTTTCTGCGGACAGCCGGTTATCCCGTGAAGAAGCAAGTGAAGTAAGCAAGCAAGTGAGTGTCGGCAACTTTTGCATGCATGCAAGGAAGGGCCCAGCGAACTTTTGCATGCATGCAAGGAAGGGCCCAGCGACATGCGAGGATGCGTGCCGACCACCCGCACCGATGTCGAGAATCTCTCGTCCTCTGCTACCGTTCATCCTCGTCTATCTCATCTGAGCAATTAAAAGAACTGACGTGGACAGCCTAGAAAGCCGCCGATTCGGCGTGCCTTCATATCTTTAATATTTTATTACTTATAAGAAGCAAAACAATCCGAGCATTGCATTAGTGTTACATGATTTTCTTTAGCGAATCTAGAAAACCAAAGAAAATTCACACGATGCAAGGATATACCGTAGCGAAATTACCGGACGATAGAGGGTGGAACCTTGTTCGGTTATCTTAAAAAAAGTGTAGTGAAATTTTCTTAGTTGCTCATGGTTCTATAAAGATCTTTTTTAGGGCAGTTATGTAAAGATCGGGCAGTTATGTGAAGATCTAAGCATTTTCTCTGAATAGAGTTACTCAAGCACGTACTGTATAAATAAAGGTAATTTCGGTGAAAAAGGAAAATTTTATTAGCCCAATCACTGAAAACACTCCAAACAGCTCCTCCTACTAAACGTCTGGTAGGGCTTCTCCGTACGAGCCGAAGAGGAGCCATACTAAACGGGGCCTAAGAATCATATGGGAAATATTTTTGCTACACGCTATTATAGAAAGGGGCCCTTTGATAGGGATCCAAATTCTTGACAAACATTTAAATTCGGATTCTCTGGAGAAACATTTCAACATCGGATTCTCTGGAGAAACATTTCAACAAAATCACTCGCCGGAACCGTTCGTCTGTCTGCCTGGATTCAGAGTAGAGGTAAATGTGGTGGAATATACCAAAATGCCCTTAATATATGATGATATTTTCTTGAGTTATCACAGGGCAAAATAAGCCGGCTTCACCGAGCAGAGCATAGCAGAGCCGCACAGCCAGGTGCTCGGCACTCACGGTCGGCTTCGTTGCGGCAGTGCGCAGCTGGGCAGCATGCTTCACGCGTACGCGCGTGCGTGAGGAGGGGGCAGAGAGGTGGTGGCGGCGCGCGGTCGCCGTCGAGGGAGCGCGCGGTCGCCGTCAGCGGAGGGGCCGTCGATGGGGGAGTGGCACAGAGGAGGTCCCCAAGGAAGGGCGCGCGGTCGCCGTCAGGGGAGGAGGCCGTCGGAGCCTCAGGGGAGAGGCACGGAGGAGGCGGCGCATCCTGATGTCCGAGGTGTCGGGAGCTCTCGCGGTGACCGAATGGATAAGCGAGGCGATGGCAGTTGTGGTAATTTTTAACGAATGGGCATCATCAGAATGGAGAGCGAATCGGTGCGAAACCACCCCATGGCCGTTTCGAAACTCATTGAAGGAAGGGGGATCGGTTCCGCTTCGATTCTTTGCGCTGGAAACCCGTTTGGAACTGTTTCTACTGATTCTTCGCAGAAATGGATCCGATTCTTCCTTCCAAACGCATGTCAGTAATTTTAGACTTGGAAGTAACAGAAGTATCGTTGCCGGTATGTAAGTAAAATGGGCTTAAGCGTTTCTACCCCTGTTTTGAAGCGAATGGTGATTTTGCCCTTGTTTTTTTAACTTTGTGATTTTACCCATGCGATTTCAAAACGAAAAGAGACTTTACCACTACTATGTGAAGTGCCTCTAACAGTGTTAACTTTTGAATAAAAGGACAACTTTGCCTATGTATTTTTACCCCTGTTTTGTTATTTTGATATTTCTGTTTTACCCCTATTTTCGATCAACAATTTAGCCATTTTAATACAGAATTATACAATTCAACCAGTGAAAAAATCAACAATTTTTAGAAAAAATCGACTAGTAAAATGTTTTTGAAAGGCTCGCAATTTGAAGAAATCAACCCTACTTAGAATTGGGGTCTTTCATTCATTCATTCATTTATTGTACCCATGACAAATGTTCTCTCATCTTATTTGCCCCAACATTTAATGGATATTGTCATGAGCTTCACATTAGAAGAATGGCGCACGTTGGGGAATTCCCTTGCGTCGGTGACGAGCAACCCTTTTTGGTGGTGGTTCTTCATTGTTCTTGTCATTGCAGCTATCTTTGTCACTTGTAGTACTTGAACCGACATCATCGATCCTAGTCACATGATCCTTACCATTGGATTGAGGGCTGTTTTCAACCATAGCTGGCGTACTCATTTCCATATTTAAGCCTCTAAGCTGTAAAAGGTAAGGATTTTATTAGATATATGCGATCCATTAATTATGAAACTTATTTCTTATTTTTGTGCTTTTTAGAAAATAACATCCTTAGATAGTTTGTGATAACTTACATTGCATCCAAGAGAGCGAAGCGAAATGCATCAAGTAGAAACGATTGCATGTCTCACATGACTATGTGTTGATGAAAAAGGTGCCTTACAAATGGGGACACTAGAAGCACGCGGTTGTGGGCGCTCATTCAAGAATACGACCCTTGCACTATTGATTACATAAGTTTGCACATCACTAATATCAAGGATGTCTTGAATCTCTGAAACCCTCACAACATCATGGTAGGATGATCGCCTTATCTCAAAAACAACCAATTATTTGAAACTTAAATCGCGCCATCCTTTCATAGATCATATGTGTGTGCTTGCTCAAAGGACCCATGGCCTATGAATTAATAATTTTATACACCCAAATTTAGAACACATTTAATGTAAAGTTTTATAATGTTTCCTAATTGTGAGGTGACATAAGAAGCAACAAAAGAAAAACATCCAAATTGTAAAGTTTTGATTGTATGACATGTATGATATATGAAATGTTTTACCTTTCCATTGACTACACAACTACACATTTCTTACCTGGATTACACAATGAGTCGAATGATCGCTTGAACGGCATGAGTTCTGAGAAAGTAGTGGTGTAGCCTCACACTTTGGGTGCAAAATAGGTTACACTCGTTGCGACTAGCAAGAAGATGGTTTGCACAAGTTGTAAAGAATTGTGTTGCAAGTAATATTTCTAGCCATGAAGGCACTGTCTCCCTTTTCATTGTAAAATCAGTAGTCTATTATGTTCTTTGTGCTAATGTTGGGGCTGTAAGTGAAAGGAATGGTTGTACTTATAGGAAAAGAATAGTGAGAAGTGCATGAGTTTTTGTTGTAAATTCTTTGGCACAAAAATAGGCGTTTTGCATAATCTGTGGTGGTAAGAACTGAAATGCTAGCTATAAATTAAGAGAAACAATATAATAATAAGAAGTACATGCACTTTTCCTACAAAACAATGGGCGCTGTATGATGTTTTGCATAATCTGCGGTGGTATGAACTGAAATGCTAGCTAGAGATTAAGAGAAACAATAAGTGAAAGGAATGGTTGTACTTATAGGAAAAGAATATTGAGAAGTGCATGAGTTTTTTGCTGTAAATTTGCTGGCACAAATAGGCGTTTTGCATAATCTATGGTGGTAAGAACTGAAATGCCAGCTAGAAATTTAGAGAAACAATATAATAATAAGTACATGCACTTTTCCTACAAAACAGTGGGCGCAGTATGATGTTTTGCATAATCTGTGGTGGTAAGAACTGAAATGCAAGCTAGAAAATAAAAGAAACAATATAATAATAAGAAGTACATGCACTTTTCCTCCAAAACAACGGCGCAGTACGATGTTTTGTGGTTCTAAGAATTGAACTAATAGTTACAAGTGACATAGAAACAATAATGAGATGTACAATCTCTTTTCCTATAAAACCGTTGTTGTAGTGTGAAGTTTTTCATAATTGCAGTAGTTCTTTGTCCAAATATGCAACACTAAGAACTGACTGCCAGCTAAAGTTATACGAAAAAAATAATGACAAGTACAATCACTCTTCCTGGAAAACCGCTGGCAAATAAGAAGTTTTATAAAATTTGTGGCACTAGGAACTGAAATGCCAGCTATGGATATAGGGATAAAACAATAGAAGTGCATCCACCTTTTATTCAAAACTACTAGCGCAATAAGAATATTTGCATAATTTGCAATGTTTAGAAACTGAATGCTAGCTACAAACATTGTGCCCACAATCATAGTTCTCATTAATATAATATATGTCGGTGTTTTTTACCAGCAGATATTTGGTTCTTGGGGAATCCCGCTTGGTGCGAAGAACAATCACAGATGGAGACACGATTTATACTGGTTCGGGCCCCGGGAAGCGAGTAAAAGCCTTACGTCCAGTTGCTACTTCTTATATTGCTTATATTCAACGAAATTGCTATTACAATGTAGCTATGCCTATGAGAGAGTTGATAGATACAACAGGGGATATTGCTAACTATTTATATCCGGGATCAACTTGCCCTACAAGCTAAGGAGTCATGCCCTAATCAGAGTCCTGGCGCAATCCAGAGATATCCTTCCTTGAGTAGGGTCGTCGTGGGCCTTCGGGTCTTCTTTGATCCGGAGTCGGTAGTCGGCAATATGGAAGTCGAGGTACCCAGGGGTATGGCATCGACATAAGCCCCCAAGCTTGTCTATCAAACACAACTTGGTCGTCTGCGAGTAGTCGGGATTGTCCTAGTTAGGTGGTTTGTAGTTCGGGTACCAAGAGGTAGCCTGGGTTACCAATAGCGACTTAAATCCTGATCCCATGCAAGCCGATAAAGGTGCGCTGTTTGGGAGATGAGCTTGCTCTAGTGCCATACCCGGGTCGTCTTGTTTTGTCAATCCTGT